GATCCCAGGGCGGGAGGTTTAACAGCTACGGAGCCAGGAGCTCGGGGCAGCTCCTCCTCTGCCACAGCACCCCAGGGACCACCCCACGGGGGCACAGCACGGCCAGGGCCAGCCCAGCAGAGCGGGTCCCACCACGGGCAGAAGACACATCCCACCACCTCCTGCTTCCTACCTTGAGGCGGACAACGTGCGGGATCTTCACGCCGTTGAGATAGCATTTGATCTGGGGGATGCCACTGCCAGCTGCCACGGGCTGTGGGGAGCAGGGAGAGTGTCAGCAGCTGCCACCTCCAGCACAGGGACACACCGGCCACCCCAGCCCTGGCCCTCAGCACGGGCCAAGCACACCCACAGGGAGGTGAGGCCCAAGTTTATTTATAGGCTCTGGGGGTGGGCTTGAGGAAGGCACCTATTGCCACTCAGAAGGAGAAGCTAGCAAGGTTCTGGGGGGACACCAAGGTGCTCCCACCACTGTGCCACAGCGAGAGGCCCAGTGCTGCAGAAAGCTCACACTTAGTGGCCAGGGAGAGCACGGGCAAAGCCACAATGAAGACAGTGATGAGTCAGAGTCTCTGGCTTGTTCTTGGTGTCCCTGAGGCATCCCACCAGCCTGCTCTCTGCCAGTGCTCATGTGGCCCCTCTGCACCAGGCAGACGTTTTGGAGAGCTGCACCAGTGCCTGAGGCTGGAGCTCACCCTCTGCCCCAGGCTGCCAGTGAAGGGCAGCACGTCCCAGCAGCCTGAGAGCCCCAGAGAAACCCAAAAATCACAGCCAGGGCCAGCACCGAAGAACCGGGGCTACCAAGAGCCAACCTGGCAGGAGGGTGGCTAACCTGGCAGGAGTGCATCTGCTGTTACACAAACGTGTCTGCTTGCTGAAAACTCAATCCTGCTCCCCCCACAGAAAGAGCTTCCAACCAGTCCCAGCCTCTTACCTCTATGAACGCAACGATGACGGAGCCCACCATCACCACGCTGGCATTGAGGGTGGCCCAGAGCAACAGGGAGAAAGACAGGCCCCCTTTCTCTGTGAACTTGTCAATGTCTGGGGCAGCAGCTCAAGGAAAAGCCCAGCAGCAGTTTGGTACCATCCCTCCCACCCTGGTAACAGGTCACTAAAACACTTCTCAGGCTGCAGATCCCGGGAGACACTGAGGAGCCTCCTC